GGTGGTAAAGGGGGCGGGTCAAAGTCAGATGGTGGTTTGAATTTATTAAGCGATGTCATAGTGGTCGAGTCTGTTGTCGGAAGAATTTGATTGGCAAAATGATTCTTGAGTCTAAGGCTTCTTGCCATGGTCATCACATCTTTGATGAGTTCAAAATGGTTAAATTGTGGTGTTGGGCAGAAGCTTAGGCCCTTGGAAAGGAGGCTTTCTTCATTTTTGGAGAGAACGTGGTCGGAGATATTGTGAACTTGAAGAATATCAAGACTCAGAACATCAAGAATGGTCAGACTCGACCACTATGACATCGCTTAATAAATTCAAACCACCATCTGACTTTGACCCGCCCCCTTTACCACCGGACCACCCAATAGAACAGTTTATCAATCTCATAGTCCAAAACATATCAGATCCTTCCTTTGAGAAATCAGTCCAAGAGGCTGCCCAACCCAACCTAACCTTGGATGAAAAGCAAGCCTTGCGAGATCTGAAGAACAATAAAGACATTGTGATTCTACCAGCCGACAAAGGTTCCACAACCGTAGTCATGAACAAGACAGATTATGTTGCAGAAATTGATCGTCAACTTTCAGACTCCACAACCTATCAACTGTTGAATGAAAACCCTACAGAACGCTATAACTCGGAACTTCAAGACCTCATCAAACGGAATGCCTCTCTGAACCAGCTAACCCAGAAACGGTCAGACTGCTAACGCCAGAAAACCCATCCACCCCAAAATTATATATTCTCCCCAAAATACACAAAGATACCTTCCCACCACCAGGTAGACCAATTGTCTCAGGATGCGGTTCTCCCACAGAAAGAATTTCGGCTTATGTGGACACCTATCTCCAGCCTATAGTACAAAATCTCCCATCATATATCAAAGACACAACAGACTTCCTTCTTAGACTTTCTTCAGTTACAAACAAGCTCACACCTAACTCCATCCTAGCTACAATAGATGTTACATCCCTGTATACCAATATCCCCCACGCCCACGGACTTGCTGCAGTTGAACATTACCTTGACAAAAGAACTAAAGGTGAACTCCCTAAGACTTCCTTTATCATCAGCCTCACCAAATTCATCCTTGAAAAGAATAATTTTCAATTCCTGGACCGCCACTACTTGCAGATAAAAGGGACTGCCATGGGTACCAGGATGGCCCCCTCATACGCCAACTTGTTTATGGGAAAACTTGAAAATGACTTTCTGCAAAAACAGACTCTACAACCAACTTGTTGGTTCAGATACATAGACGACATCTTTGTCATTTGGCCCCATGGAGAAAATAGCCTCAACCATTTTTTAAATAGCCTAAACACTTTCTCAACATTGAAATTCACTTGGGAGTTATCTGAAACTGCGGTTCACTTTCTTGACGTCATGGTGGAACTGAAAAATGGCTCAATCTCCACATCTGTCTACACCAAACCCACCAACCACCAACAGTACCTACACTATAACAGCTGCCATCCCAACAACACCAAACGCTCCCTACCCTACAGTCTTGCCTTAAGAGGGAAACGAATAAACTCCGACAAGAAGAATCTGATAACTTACAACAAACAACTCCAAACTGCTTTTGAAAATAGAGGATACTCGACACAAACAGTCTCTTCGCAAATAAAAGCGGCCCAAAATGCTACTGACAATCCACCTAAGAAAACCAAAACCACCTACGATGTCAACCTGGTGACTACTTACCACCCAGGTCTCAACAGGCTCAATAACCTTTTGAAAACCGGCTACAACATGCTTCGAAGCTCCACCCAGACCAAAGATCTCTTCCAAAAACCCCCCACCATAGTCTACAGACAACCTGCCAATCTAAAAACCATCCTAGTCCATCCCGAGTTACCCGACCCGTCCGTTGAACCACCTCCAAGACTGCCCCCAGGTTCCTACCCATGCAATGAAACCAAATGCAAGACCTGTGGCATCAACATTCCTGCAGAAACCTTCACCAGCACATCGTACAACAAAGAGTACAAAATAAAAGACCACATAACATGCAATAGCGAAAACCTGATCTACCAACTACAATGCAAACTCTGTCAAGCTCAATATATAGGCCTAACCACCCAAACTCTTAGGAAAAGGATGAATGGACATAGACAGGATGTTAAAACAAACAAATACAAACCCATTGCAATACATGCAGCAAACCACAACTTAGACTTTGATACATGTTTCACCACAAAAGCCATAAAATCCCTCCCCAAAGACTAATGTAACAGCTCCCTACTCAGAAGGTGGGAACTAGCCTACCAATACATCACTGATTCCAGAAACCCTCCTAACCTTAACATCAGATAATTCACCCAACCCTTCCCTCAGCTAGCTTCATTTTTATAAAAATCAACCACCATATGTATATATAGGAGTGTATGTGTATATAGATGTACATAACAACAGGAATTTTCATTTAATTTTAAACAACAGTTGGCAACACTATTGTGGAACTTTTGAATTTGAACTGTAACTGCCAGTTTTCTTTCTTCTCCCTTCTGATGAAGTCCCTAACTGGGACGAAATATTAAGTTTTTCTGTGTTGTGTCATGTGTTTTATGTGTAATCAAGGCTAATCTGGACTCTATCTACCAGGTAAGCTAGCTGATCCCTATCCTTGTACATAATAATCCTAATCAGCCAATTGGCCTTTCCTTAACTCCTAAAATTAGTTTTTTTGTGAATTTAGCATTAATTGATTGTTTACAAAAAATTCTTGGATTTGTGATAATTCTATATGGGCTGCTACTTCCAAATCAATCTGACATTTAGCAGATACAATAAGATTAGAATCGTCAGCATACTGTATGAGTTTAGAATTATATATTACATTGTTACATAGACAGTTTGGCATATTCTTAACATAACAAATGAAAAGCAAGGGTCCAAGAATAGACCCTTGCGGGACGCCATGCTTTATACTTTGTGTTGCGGAGGGAATTTTTGAAATTATAGTGTTGTTTATATGACTGATTTCTGTAAATTGCTGCCTGTTGGTGAGATATGACCTGAACCACTGCAAAGGAGTTTTTTGAATCCCAAGATAATGTAATTTTTGTAACAGCCTTTCATGTGATATACTATCAAATGCTTTGGAAAGGTCCATGAAAATACCAGCAACACTTTCTTTTTTGTCTATTGATTCTATAATTGATTCAGTAAAATTTATCAGAGCTGTGGTGACAGATTTATCTTTGCAAAAACCATGTTGTTCGTCATCTAAAAGACTATTTTGTTCTAGAAATAGCATGAGTCTTCCATGCATGGCTTTTTCAAAAACTTTTGAGATTGAAGGGAGAATAGAAACTGGACGATAATTTTCTATATTAAGTTCATCCCCTTTTTTGTAGATTGGTATGGTTTTAGAAATCTTCAATTTGTCCGGGAAGATTCCAGAAATGAATGATGAATTTATCAGGTGTAATGAAGGCTTTATCAATGCGATTTTTGAAAATTGTATAACTGTTAGGCCTATTGGTATTTCATCATATCCGTAAGAGTTTTTATTTTTCAAAGAATCAATTACTTTAGCCAATTCGTCCTCATTAAGTGGATTGCATCGGAACACTTTTTGTAGATTTAACAAGTTATTTGTCAAAGTCACGGGCTGTGCTGGAGGCAAATCCTTAAGTAAATTTTCAATTACATTTACATAATAGTCATTAAAAATGTTACTAACATGAGTTGGATTGGAGACCAGTCTACCATCAGATTCTATTACAATATTTTCACCAGATTTGATTTTTTTATTTGCTACTTCTGAGTTAATGATTTCCCAAGTTGTTTTGGAGATGTTGTTGGAGTTTGCAATTTTATTACGGTAAAATTGTTTCTTTGCGTTAACTGAATTTATTTTGAACTGCCTTTTTCTAGTTTTTACTTGTTTATGAAGTTCAGTAGACTTTGTTCTTCTTGCCTGTTGGCTAAGTTCTACAATATTGTTTTTTTCCTCTTTTAGCTCCTCAGTTATCCATGTTTTTTTATTTTTATTTATTTTTAATAGAACTCTTGGAAAAGAAAGATCGAAATAATATTTAAATATGCTATCAAAACTGTTGTACTTTTCATCAACAGTTGCATTGTAGACTGCGCTCCAATCCTCCTTTACAAGTAATGAATTGAAGAGGGTCATGTTATCTTTTGTAAATTTCCTCCCATACCTAAATAATTGTTTATTTTCATTATTACCTAATGTACATCTAATTTTCAATACCTGCCCATCATGATCAGACAAACCAGTTACTAAACCTTCTATCTGAAGAAAATTGACATCAATGTTAGTTAAAAAATTATCTATACCAGATTCTGAATTAGCTGTTACTCTGGTGGGAAAGTCTACTAAGTACCTTAAGCCATGCCGAGTAAGAACATTTTTAAACTCAACTGATTCAGTAGAGCTTTGTAAAATATTTATATTAAAATCTCCAGCAATCACAATATATTTTTCTTTTTTTAACAGTATTAGGTTATCGAGCCTGTTGAAAAATTCTATTGTTTGGAAGTTAGGTGTTCTATATACTGCCGCTGTTATAAATTTGAATTTACCTATCTGAAATTTGGCCAAACAACATTCAAAAATTTTATCCTCACAGAGGCTGTTTAATTCTAAAGTAACAAACAGTCTCAATTTATTCATCATTGCCTCCAGGATTGATTATTGACAATATAAATAGGTTACATACCTTACGTCGTCAATCCTAAAAAAGTAACATAAGTAACATAAGGCTAGTTAGAAAAAAAACAAAAAAAAAACGCTTAGGTCCTAAGTTACAAACATTGGGCCTTCTAGCACATCTACCTGGGCAATATATAAAGATCCAGGTAAACATTACAAGTAGAAATTTGCAAAAGAAATATATATATAGCCTAGAGCCTACCGTTGAAAAGCTAAACGTATATTTCATATGAGTTCCCTTTAAAAGTTTCTTTAACAGTACCTGTGCCTAATTCTAAAATAGTCTTTATCCTAAGCTACCGGTACGTACCAGTTAGGAAGAGAGTATGGTTGCGTCCACAAGCGGCTCCTACAATAGTCAAGTTCTTGAGCTCTTCCAACTCAACAGGGACATCATGGCGCTCCGTGTTGCCAGTTCCCAATTGACACTTCTCATTGCGACCTTTTGGAAGTTAATTTAAACATAATTAGGCAGTGTTGGGGAAGCTACTTTTAAAATGTAGCTAGCTGCTACAACTACTGCTACATTTCCAAAAAAGTAGCTTAGCTACAGCTACAGTTCCAAAATACCCCCGCCGCAGCAAACCTGCAGACTAAGCGAATTTCCATTTGACTGATAGGATTTACACTGAAATGTCTACTTAAAAATATAACATTTATTCTTGATTTAAATAGAATTAGTTTAACAAGTACTTAGGTTTGCTGCATCAGGGAGGGTAAAACTGTTTTTTTTTTTTTTTGTTTTTTTTGTAAAATGTGAGTAGTTAATAAGAAATAAAAACATTTTCCAAATTTGATCAAAATATGTTCACAAACAAGCAAACTACAACAGTTTACTTATTCTCCATAAGAATAACATGGGAATTTTAAATGTACAATTTTTTGGTATTTTCTCCGTAACCATTAGGCGCATAATAACGCTTCAATATACTAAATTATTTGTTTTTTTAAGCTCTTCAAAATGGTTTGGAAAGAAATTGCTAAATTTTATGTTTTTTGGGTCAAAAATGAGAAAAACCTATTTTTACCCCATAAAACCCCCCGTAAACCCCCGTTCCCATGGTCCGATCATGCTGGATCGCGAACTCGTTCGAATAAACGTACGTTTACACGTTTGTACCAAATTTCATCAAAATCGGATCATTCTTGCTCGAGTTATCGTGCTGACGGACATATATATATTTACAAACAAACAATATAAACAATGGTTAAGTGTTTTATGTATTTTGAAGTTTGAAAATGGACTAATGTCCGAAACATGTCACTTCTTTTTATAAAATATAATATTCAGGGTGCTCAGTTGTACTTATTTACTTAAATATTTAATATATATATATATATCTAATATATAAAATTCTCGTGTCACAGTGTTTGTCTGCAAACTCCTCCGGAACGACTTCACCGATCGTTATGAAATTTGGTGTGTAAATTCTGTAGGTATGCGAATCGGACGTAAACTATTTCCCGTTTCGAAATTCTTAAAAGGGCTCTGCCCCAGTGGCTCTGGAGTTTCCCATGTTAACCTTATGAGAAATGGAATTAATGAATCTTAACGGCTGTTTCAATTAAACAAGTTGGTTCTGTTCTATGATGTTCAATAGCATTAAAGTTACAAGGATTACCAACAGGGTGCAGCACTATTATTTCTTTTACATTTATGGCAACAGCTAATTTGCAACCAAAAGGTGAGTGAGCGTAGCGAACGAACTTCAACCTGGAGGCGAGTTAGCGTAGCGAACGAGCTAACCTGAAGGCAAGTGAGCGCAGCGAACGAGCTCCAACCTAAAGGTGAGTGAGCGTAGCGAACGAGCTCCAACCCAAAGGTGAGTGAGCGTGGCGAACGAACTTCAACCTGGAGGCGAGTTAGCGTAGCGAACGAGCTCCAACCCAAAGGTGAGTGAGCGTGGCGAACGAACTTCAACCTGGAGGCGAGTTAGCGTAGCGAACGAGCGAAACTGAAGGCAAGTGAGCGCAGCGAACGAGCTCCAACCTAAAGGTGAGTGAGCGTAGCGAACGAGCTCCAACCCAAAGGTGAGTGAGCGTAGCGAACGAACTTCAACCAGGACGTGATTGAGCGATGCGAACGAGATCATCTTGAAAATTAAACGTAACGGTACTTTCTTTCCATCGGTCTGTCTTAGGTACCTATAACTTAGGCGATACGAAGTTCGCCGGGTCAGCTAGTAAATATATAAATATATATATATGAATTTGAACGGATGGTGTTTTTGGCCTCTAGGGACCTCAAAACGAAAAAAAAAATCGGTCCCGCGTCCAGGTCTTACCATGAGTACTACGGTAATAGCTTATTCCCTATATGGGAAATTCGCTAATATTCCCTATATGGGAAATTCGCTAAAAGTAGCTAGCTACAACTACAGCTACAATGAAAAGTAGCTACAGCTACAATTTTAGCTACTTTTCCAAAGACGTTACTTTTTATTCCACGCACGTTAGGTAAATGTAAAATTAATTGCAACTACATTTTTATTGAACAAAAAAAATGTCAGTATTGTATCTAACATTACTCGGAAAACAAATTATTCCTAGATTGTATTTAATTTGTTGGCATTATAAACCTAACATTATAACAAAAGAACCAAATAGTTGGGTGCCCCATCATATTTAGTACTTATTTTTAAATATTGCATTACTGTATTTTTAAGCATCTTAAATGTAAATTTCATTAAGTTCAAAGGACATACAACCAAACTATATTTTAAAAGCTCATTTTTATTCTTTATTATAGATTCATTTATAGATGTCTTATATCAACAATTAAGACCAATAAAACTGTAAAACGATTATTTAAACATACTTTTTTGTGTTACAGAGCCTTGCCTACTGAAATTGGAGTTTATTGCTTTTACTTTTAATGTTAAAAACGACATTGCTACAACTTTTAACCATAGTGATGAGTTACTTGTTCTATGAGTAACACTTTTCAATGCCAATAAATCGTCCTTTATTGTCATTATGCTTAGGGCAAATTGTGCTTCAACCTAGTTGGTACAGAAAACAGTATTCAGCAACCTATACTGAAATCGGCTTTTAATTTAAACATGTTGAAATTTGTAAAGTAAAAATAACATGTAGGCCTACTTGGCCATGTAACAAGTTGGCTATAGTAGGCTTGTTCTTGCTAAGACTAAACTAAACAGATATTATATTATTCCTAATAATTGAACTTGGAACTTGGTATTCGTCTTAAACCATAGCTAGCCTAGGAATAGTCCTATACAAGAGCTGTAAGCAGGAGCAAACTACGCTATTTTTTCAATGTAAGTTTCATGGATATGGAGATTTTTTCGTTACAATTATCATGTAGGCCTAGCCTAGGCATATATTAAATCTCATCAGGTAAATTTCCTCTTTGTTAATTTAGTAAACCTTTAAAACATCTTCGTAATCTAACCAAGGAAGGGCTTGTGATGATAAACCACAATCAACAGCTGAAACAAAGGTTGATGGACCAGCTTTCTCATTATTTTAAGTATTGTTGGTTTCAATTAAAACCCAAGTTGAAACACCATCAATATAATAAAGAAACTAAGTTGATTACTAATTTCCCTGTCAATCACTTGCAATCATTCAATAGCTTCTCTTGTCACCGGTAACGTTTAAACGTCGTCTGCATCTAGCGATTTTATTTTATCTGACAGTAATCATAGAGTATTAAATTAAGGAAATGAGAGCAAAAAATGTGGATAACACTCATTTAATGGCCTCCATGTCCACACAACGTTTTAATAGGGAATGAAACAGCTGCAACCAGCTGTATGAAGCCAAGAAAGTAGGCCTAATTTTTTTGAAAATCTCAGTTTGAAAGAGTTTGTTTCACGTAAGGTTGAGGTTATGATAAAAATCACTATCTCAAACAATGTTAATGTAGCGAGAAAAGTAGCTAAAATTCCGCTACAACTACTTTAAAAATGTAGCTAGCTACAGCTAAAGCTACAAACAAAATCTTAAAAGTAGCGTAGCTACAGCTAACGCTACAAAAAAAGTAGCGTAGTTAAACATAGTAGGGAAGTAGCGCGCTACTTCCCAACACTGTAATTAGGAGCGTAATTTCCTTAATAAAATAAGGTTAAAGGTAATGAGCCCTAAGCATTTCATACAAACAAACATAAGCCTACTGTAATGAAAATTGTGTAGGCCTATGTAACAAAGTATTTAAAGTAAAATTATTATACAATAAGCCTTACAGCTCATGACATCTAAGCTGGCACTTGGCCGATCGCTACTAGTATCCAGTTCAAAAACATTTGTCCCGTCATGCGGGTTGCATAAACTGTCCTCGCGACCCTTATGAAGGCGCTCAACTACATAATACAAGGGTGAGTCAACCCCGTGAGGAATCGGAAATGTTTGCAGTCCGGTCTTTTCCCTACCTCCACCCTCCTCCCGCCTTCAATGCCCGCGCTAGGCCAAGGGCCAGCTTAGATGTCATGAGCTGTACTAATAAGATTGTCATTTTTCTGATAAATTGTAGCCTAATTCACCTTAGATTACCTAAGTTTAAGATAAGTGTATGTTTTATGTTTAACTTAAATCTTAAGTTCAACAGATCTTTTGTAAATCAAAGTCCCAATAAATCTTGTAAACTTACTGGATCAATAGGCTAAGTTATCAAGTTTACTAGGCCAAGGCCTACCTAAGTTTGTTTGAATGATTTTGTTAAAAATTGAGATCACAATTTTACTGTAATCAATTATGTGCTAAAAATTTTCTCATACAATATTGAGACTCTGCTATTAGGGTAAGACAGTACCAGTATGCTAAAAGTAAAATATATTGAGAAATTCTAAATAAATAAATCAAATGATATAGTCTTACCAAAAACCAATGCCTTCCAATCCTCTGTTATGATGACACTATGGGCAGCGTTACACCCGGACACAACCATGTGTACTCTTATGTTGTCGAGCGGAGTAAATACGTGGGGTGAGAACAAGTTCCGCCCTTTGTTGGCAGTCTTGCAACCTTTTGGAACAGACTTGCGAGCCACCATATCCCAGTTGGTAGCCCCACATATCAACACCTTGCCCAGATGGTCTGGGCCTTTCACCCTCTGAAAATTGATTGAGGTAAGTTATTACACAACATCAGGTAAAAAATACACTGAGGTAACTTAAGTTAACCTAAAATGTAACTTTATATCTTAAGCTCATCATAGTAGGGGGCGTGGGTTGGATTATACTAATTATGTTTAGCAACTTAAGTTTACAGGTTTCTGACAAGGAATAGCCTAATAAAGTTATAATTTAACTTTAGGGTACACATCTATGTGTAGTTCCCTATAGCAACATACAAACGGTACCACCGATAACAACCGATACTTTGTTAATAGTGATAGTTACAAATGAAATAATCGATATATTGATAGTTTTAATTGGGCGTAGGCTAAACTAAAGTGCAGCCTCTCTATTTACTACCTTTTCTGTATTTATGTAGCACCTCTAGACTGTCAGCAATCTCTCTCATGTTGTGGTTTATAGGTCGATTACATGAGTTAGATTGCTGACGGTCTAGAGGTGCTACATAAATGCCGAAAAGGTAGTAAAACTAAACACATTAGAGGAATTTGAAATTTACAAATAATACCACGACAACACTGCCAGTGTTTTGGGGGGATATTTTTTTGCTAGCTGTCATAATGAATGTATAATTTTGTATAAGCAGCCCGAAAAAGTGTTTCTAAGTAGCTCACTATCACCACCAACAACATTTTGCCGTAATTAAGATAGCTTAGCTAAGAATGGTAAAAACGGACCTTGCCAGACAATCCTTTATATACCAGTGTCGAATTTTACTTGCTACATATGTTTTGGTGGTTCTTAACTCCACCATCGTCAGGATTTAAAAAAGATCCACTTCTGGAGGTGTCGTCAGAATACGACAAACATTTAGGGGCGGTTTGGGAGCTCGGTATTAGCTCTAGTCCGCGACTAAGAACTGGATATTTCCGGTATTTAGGCTGCCGCCTCGAAAACGGGTTTGGGAGCTCGGGATCAGTAAGGCGCGCGCCTAACTTGTGCAGGGATAATCTCGCGCCTAAATGTTGTTGGTTTGGGAGTCAAGTGGACTTAGGCGCCAGCCTAAGAGATAGTCTCGGTGGGTTTGGGAGACCAATTTCGGGACTAAGAGATATGTTTTCGTCATAATCAGTGAGTTTAGTCCCAACTTTAGTCCTGGAAGTCGACATCATGCCGGTATTAGCTCATTAGCAAGTTAATTGTTTACATATTATTAAGTAAAAGAATGTTATATTGGAATTCGTTATTAAATTCCAAACAATTTCATTAGGCCTACCCTCAAAGTATATTTGGTAAAAGTTTTTTTTAAGGTTTCTGTTGTTCAAAATATAAAAAAATCTTGCAGGAAGTAATTTAACAAAAGATTATTTTATTTTTGTTTTTACTGTTAACTTCAATAAAAATATGGAGCCTGAATAGAATTTTTATTTCAACTTAGAGTTTGGTTATAAGCACCCGTACCTTAATTATAAATATTTTATTAGCTAGGAAATAATAAGCAACCCCATACATAACCCCCCCCCCCCACTCACCCCCTACGAAAGAGTGAAGAGATATATGAACAAAACATAAAAAACTGCAAATAGCTCACAGTCATAATCGTTTTCTTTTTATTGCGTTGTGATTGAGCTCAGTTCAGTGTCATTGACTAGTGCTAGTTACATCAAAATGTAGTACCTAGATTATTTGGAGTATAAGAAAATATATATATATGCCCTACAGTATATCAATAATCCCGCCACAGAAAACCTACAGACTAAGCGAATATCCAATAACCTAATAGGACTTTCAATAAAATTTATTTAAATAGCTTTAGGTTTAACAAGTAACTAAAACTACCTACGTGTAGGTATGCTACTACAGGGAGGGCAATAAAGTGTGTTTTTTACCAAAATATTATGAGCTTTATTTAAAATACATAAATATGCCAAGTTTCATCAAAATATATCTATAAACTACAAAACTACAATAGTTAACTTATTCTCCATGAGAATCACTTAATCACATAGGAATTTTAAATTTAAGATTTTTTGAGAATTCTCTGTAGCCAATAACCGTACAAAACATTTTAAGATACCGGTACTAATTTGTTTTTTATACTCTTTTAAAATATTTTAAAGATAAAGATTTATGTTTTAGGGGTTAAAATTTTGGGCCTCTGGGGACATCAAAATGGAAAAGTATATCGGTGCCGGAACTAAGTGCTACCTACGGTAAAAGCTATTTCCCTATAGGAAAATTAGAAAAAGAGTGTCATGTTTAAAATTTTTTAAATTGACAAAAATGTTTTTGTAAGTATTAAAAGATAGGCCTATACCTTTGCTTCACAAAATCATAACCTCCGCAATTACTTAAAATACTTTTTATTTCCGTCAATACCCATATATTAAGATAAGATAAGATCTTTATTTCCATTAGATATTTTTTTGAATACATTGGATATGTCAGGTTACAATATATAATCTATACAATAATAAATCGAACAAAGGGCTCACCCATTTTACACAAAATCATTGCAAGTCAATTTTTTTGTCAAATATTCATCAATTGAATAGAATGCATTTGCAAGTAAGAACCTGATTACAACAGTTTTAAATTTAAAAATGTCCATGTCCCTAATAGCAAGGGGTAGCTTATTAAATAACCTTATGGCTAGTACAGATGGCTTTTTCATTGATTTACTTAATCTAACATAAGGCAATTGTAAGTCATGTCTTATTCTAGTGTTGTAAGAGTGCACGTCATTATTATGCACCAAATCTGGTTGATCTTTAATGAATAGCAAGTTTTGCAGAATAAAGAGTTAAAATTTTTATATTAGCCTATACAGGGCAATTGCTGTTTAATTTTAAAGCTTTTTATTGCATAAAACCGAGTTTTAGATGTTACCGTTCCACACACAGGGTAATCTTACTTTTAAATGATTACCTAATGTTTTTAATTTTTGATCTCTGAAAGAAATCATATTGATTTTCAAAAGCCTATGTTGCTCTGTGCCTATTTAAGGTGTAGTACCATAGATAAAACATAGCCGTCAATGAGATGTAAATCAACGATCTTACAAAACTACATTTTTGCAATGGTAAAATGCAGAAACTTACACCATAGTCTACTAATTAGCCACCGTTGATATACCAAGATAAAATTTTATCCATCTTCAATTGTTCATCTTTTGTTGTTGTCAACGGTAACGTGCTCTGCAGTGGCCGTTGCCAACGTCAAAACCTGAATTCCCCGCGATTCCCTGTCCATCTAGCTGCGCTGCAACTTATGTGCGACTATACTTGATCTACGACCATTTCAACTTAGGCGCGAGCTTCCAAGCCTGGTTTCTGGTCCGGGGACTAAAGTTAGGCGCGTCCAACACTAGGCCTCGCTAGCTAGCCAACACTAGCTGGGCTCGAGCTCCCAAACCGCCCCTTAAGTTAATACAAAAACACGAAACGATTACAGATAGGCCTGTCAATTCGTACATTGCCGACGGCAGGATTTTTTTTTTTTTTTTTTTTTTTTTTTTAAGGGAGAGGAGGGAAAATGCTTTTACGCACACAGGTAGCCAGCCTGTAGTGTGAGACTCCTGAAGAAGACTACTCACTAAAAAACCCCCTCTACTCTGTTGGACACAGACCTGGAATTGTTTGTCACATTACTTCAAGTCAGGCCAACATGTTACCTAAGCCCTCAGGGCTCTCACCGTTTATGGCATTTGGATACTTTATGACCAACACCGCATCCCGGTCAAGGTCGAGCTTCTTGGCGCGGAGAATATCCTGGATGTAATGTGACACACAGGTCCAATTGTCCTCACCCTCCGTCATCATCGGTATGACCGTGTCCACCGACAGCCGTCCTACTAACTGTTGAGCCTCCAGGCGGGGCCTTTCCCAACGCTGGCAGTGGAAAAAGGTATGTTCCACGTCATCGAGAATGCCTGGGCAGTATATGCAATCGGGTGACACGGCTTTGCCCATCCTGAACAGGTACGACCGGAAAAAGCCGTGACCCGTCAGAAATTGGGTGAGGTAGAAGTCCACCTCTCCGCACCGCCGATTAACCCAAGGTTGGACTTGCTTTATCAATCGCCTGGTCCAGCGTCCCCGAGTCTCCTGTTCCCAGCTCTCTTGCCACAGCTGGTAGGTGCGGGTGCGTTCCTCTGTTCGTGCCTGGTCCTCCCCACGGCGCTGATAAATTGCTTTTCTCTCCGCCGCCAAAAGTTTGACGGGGATGACTCCAGCAACCACCAGGACGGCGGGTTCGGACACTGTTCGGTAGGCGGATGCAACTCTTAGTGCTGCCTGACGCTGCACTCGGGCAAGCTGCATCCTATATACCTCCTTATTTAGAGCGTCTGCCCACACCTCAGCACCGTACAAGAGTACGGACTGGACAGAAGACATTAACAGCCTTCTACGGCTGGACCGAGGCCCTCCGACATTGGCCATCAACCGGCTAAGAGAGGAGACCACCCTAGCGGCCTTGTCCGCCGTACGGAAAATCTGATCCCGCCAGCTAAGCTTGCTGTCCACCATAATCCCAAGGTACTTGGCAGAACGAACGGTCTGGACTTCAACGGCCCCTACCCTCAACGGCACGATGGTGTCAATCCGTTTTTTTGTTAATATCACGATCTCAGTTTTGCTCAAAGCAAGCGAGAGACCGTGGTCTGTCATCCATGCGTTTATAGTACGCATAACTCGGTTCAGCTTTAGCTGAGCCAGCTCAACACTACGTGCAGCTATCAAAACTGCAACGTCGTCCGCGTACCCAACCAAAACAGTTTCCTCAGGCATTTCAGACCTCAGGAGGCTGTCATACGCGACATTCCAGAGGTCCGGGCCGAGTATGGAACCTTGGGCAGCACCGGAAGTGACACTCATCGTCCGTGGGGCCTCTGTAGTGTCATACAAGAGGAGGCGGAACCGGAGATAATCCTCTATGATACGCATGAGGTATGCCGGAACGTGGAAGGTGTTCTCCAGAGCATCGAGCATATCGCACCACCTCGCCGAATTAAATGCGTTTCGCACATCGAGAGTGACGAGCAGCACAACCCTTCGAGAGTAGTGGTTAAAATCCTCAGCTCTCATCACGGCTTGCTTCACCTCTTCAACAGCGTCAACCGTAGATCGAATCAGGTTCAGGTTATGACGGACCAACGTGGTCTCTGGATTGTTGTCTGCGTTTTCAACAGCTGATATTGGACTATTGTAGTGACTAAGAAGAGTATTGAAAATATAATGGGATTCATAATTAATTGAGTGTTTTCACTTAAAAAAAAATTTGTGCTATCAATAGTTGTATGTAGCCTATATTTCAAACTCCTTAAAGTATTTAATAAATTTCCTTTTCTGCAGTAATCCAGCATATAAATCGGTTAACTTATTATTGTCAATAATTTTGAATGGAAAAATCGATTATGAATCCCATTATATTTTCAACACTCTCCTCCGTCACTAGAATTAGTCCAATTTCAGCTTTTGATAACACAAACTATCCACAGACCACGTCTTTCCGTCATTACCTGATTCAGTTTATTTCCAATCCTGCCCGCGGCAATGCACGCGTGAATTGATAGGCCTACCTATCTGTTATCGTTTCGTGTTTTGTGTAAAAACGGATTGTCTGACAAGATGCGTTTCTACCATTATTAGTCATAAAAGGCAATCCTGGGGCTATCAAAATTAATTATAAGATTACTTCGTCACAAAAACCTTTTGTACTGGTGGCAATTATTAAGAGATAGGCTACTGTGGGTATTTTGCCCGGCGATTTTTGTAGAAGGCAGCCTGGGAGTGGCGAGCAACAAGTCTGTCTTATTTCGTGACTCTGCCTATAATTTTGAAACAAAATACTTTTTGCCAAAGTATTATTAATACACTTAAAGCTGTTTGAATTCTTAAGCCCTGTAAAAATTAACGCCACCTAATATATTGTACAGTTACAATATAGGCCTAGGTACTGTGTTGGAGTAGAGTAATTCACCGAGTAGGCCTATATTTTTGTACGTTTTGAAGACGTTGTCTATTGCAATACCCACTGAGCACACATAACTTATTGGCTGACAATACAGATTCTGAATTGTAAATTGAAAAACTTCTAATTCTTCCATTAGTTAGATTTATATTGATGTATTGTTAAATGACGTTTAATATTAAACATTTAATTTTGATTATCAGCAAGTTTGTTTTTTGTTACCTTAACCCTTTGAGTGCCAACGTCCGGGGAACCGGACGTTTTTAAAACGAGCCAAAAGTGCCGACGTCCGGCCGACCGGACGTTTTTAGAACGAGCCAAAAGTGCCGACGTCCGGCTGACCGGACGTTTCGTAATGATCGAACAGTTGTCATAACAACCGAATGGATACTCGGATTCTTTTAACCCATATATTAACATTGAGTCGAAAGTTCATCAATTTTCGTTGGTCGAAATATCGAAAATTCGATTTTTACGAAATTTTAACCTAAAAATCACCAGATCGCGCTCGAAATTTTTGGCGCGACCTTCGGGAAAAATCATCGGCATTTTTTGAGCGTTACTTTTATTTCTCGCCTGGCACTCTAAGGGTTAAGTTTACTAATTTACTTACTTTAAATGCTTGTTTTATAGGTAAAGGAAAAATTGTCAGATAAATTGGTGAGGGGAGGGTAGGTTTAACTTAAATAAACGGCAGCATAAATTGGGGGGGGGATTGCACTTCTGGGTTTTGGGGGGATGGGCACCTCACTTCAAAACACTTAGGTACTTAATACAGTCACGAATCCACATAATACCCGACCTACCTTCCTCACATGCCTAAATAAGAACTGATTATTTGGTTTCAAAAATCAAAACGAATTGATTCGATTTCATCCCGCATTAGATCAAGTAGGTATTTAAACAGTTGTTTGCTCTTCTCACTCAGTCCTCCTCACTCCTCACTCAGTAGCCTACCGACCCGTCCAGTCCAGACCACGCCATATTAACACCTTCAGTTCCGCTCAATTATCCTTAGATTCGTAATCCTAACCTTCGTTTTATGGCCACTACGGCAATTTAGGAATCTCTCCGACAAAAACTGATTGCATTTTTTGGTTCAGCGTTAAAAGTACTGTAAGTAGACATATAAAAATTACATCATATATCCCAATGAAAATACAGTAAATATTTGCCACGCTGAACACCAAAAACACTTCAGTTCAATCAACATCAAATAAAATGTTCATAAGTTGTATGTTAAAAAAAACTAATTGATAGGCTAATCGAGTCTTTCAAGTGATAACTTATGCCCAAGCCTAGTTCATCATAGCCTACTTTTCAATAGGCCTACTGGACAAAGGACTAAGTTTAACTTAATTAAGTTAACTCTCAAGCTTGATATAGGCTATAGGTATTAACTTATAAGTTGAATTTGAAGCTGTTTTAGGCTCGCATTAATTAATTAACACCAAAACATACCAAGGAATCGTCATCGGCTGGCAAGTCCTCAATATCATTATTTGGATCATGTTCATCGTGGTTTGCAGGGGAACCATCATTAGAAACATCACTTCCAAATTCGTCATCAAAATCACTCATGTCTTCATCATGTTTAGCTTTGCCGTTTTTCTTCGATTTCTTAGATGCCCTACCTTTTCCTTCAGATTTGCGTTTGGTTGACATTATTAATTCGCTAAATAATAAGTTAATAATTTAAAACTGTTCAAAACTCAAAAATTGTAACAAATTTTTATAAACAACTCAACACCAAGAAAGCGGAAAAGAGAGAGCGCCAGAGCGTCAAGCGTCTACAGTCAAATGCAAAGAGTTACAATAAATAAAACAATAGAAAGTTGGGTTAGATTTCTTCATATCGATTGTGTTATTAGGTAGAAAAATTAACTAATTTATGAAGCGTTGCATAATTAAATAAATATGTAACAAAATGCGAATAGTCAAACCAAATAAATAAATTGCAAAATAAAAAGCACTGTGTTTTAATGCCAGCCAGTATTTACTCTACAGGAACATATTTACTAGCTAAAGAAATTTCATTTCATTTATTACAGCTTGCTTATATGTGTCAGCATGTATAATATGACAACGAAACTTCCAATTAATTATGCGTTTTGTTCGTAATTGACCTTTTAACGTTAAGATACGTTGGAAATAAATCATCTTGACCGACCCACCTCTACCAAGAAGTTACCTTACAACTAAATTAAGTAACATCTCCTTAACAGCTTAACTTTTATTAATTTTCAACGGATAAGAGTATTACCATAGATAAAACATACTCCCTTAGTAGATTTCTCAATTTCTGACCGTATAGGAATTATGTCAAGTAGGAACTATAAAACCTATAAATATCTTTTGTCATAGTACAAGCTGGCACATGGTCCAATGGGCTATTTCAATGCATAGGTTGTCGACAAGGTGCCACAACAACCCGCCACGGAGCCGAATCAGTGTTTTGGTGGTTTTGGTAAGAGAAGAAACAACCCGCCATGACAAAAATATACCCACTAGGGTTGACGGTGTACGTATCCGATCCGTCTAGATGCAGCCTCGGCCTCAATAACGTCCCACCACGACAACCCGCCGACACGCATTTGTCCTAGGTGGTGGGGGAACTTTCACGCTCCCGTCTAGGCACAACAGTGGCTACCACAACAACGTGCCACCATATTCGCTCAACCCGTTGATTTGCAGTTCTGTACAATTAGCCTAAATATATTGCACAATGATTCAGTTATTTTAGAGAAAGTTAATTAGTTGGCTCGTATTATAATTATTATTAGCATTTTTGCCATGTGGTACGCTTTTAATAGGATTATTACTTATTTCCTAGAAAGTTAAAATCATAGATAAAACAGAGGACGAGTAAGTTTTATTTATATGGTTAAATGTTAAATATATTTGATGAAAACATCTTAAACAGTTAAAAAGTGGGTAAATGGGGCTCTTTTTTTGATTAAATTGTTAGCTGCTGCAATTTCGATGACCACCAGAAAATGATGACGATTTTTTATGTATATAAACACTTTACTTCACAAATTCCTATATTGATTCAATCAAGTGCATGTTTTATCTAAATTTACTAAAGCAATAACTTTTATGGCTCCATACCTAATTTTGTTTGTCCTATGACGCTAGGCACCAGCCTGGGATTGTTGTGGCATAAATCTATTGGCGATTTGGTGGGATTTTAACCCAGGACCCCTGGGACCAAAGTCCCGCGCTCACTCCCCAGATAATATAAATAACCCTTGCTTTACTTTATTAAGGGCGTCTAGAAGGGATTAAATTAAAGCAATTTGTTTTATAATTTTTCGAATTTCCCATATGTATAGGGAACAAGAATTTAAGATATTACTAGTAGGTCTCACAAGACCTAGCCCTGAAACCGATTTACTTTTTTGTTCTCATATGTAAATCGTTATTTAATTGTTCTACGCAATATATTTGGTTATTTTAGCGAATTTCCCATATAGGGAATAAGCATATATGAATTTGAACGGATGGTGTTTTTGGCCTCTAGGGACCTCAAAACGAAAAAAAAAATCGGTCCCGCGTCCAGGTCTTACCATGAGTATACATGAGTAGTACCACAACAACGTGCCACCATATTCGCTCAACCCGTTGATTTGCAGTTCTGTACAATTAGCCTAAATATATTGCACAATGATTCAGTTATTTTAGAGAAAGTTAATTAGTTGGCTCGTATTATAATTATTATTAGCATTTTTGCCATGTGGTACGCTTTTAATAGGATTATTACTTATTTCCTAGAAAGTTAAAATCATAGATAAAACAGAGGACGAGTAAGTTTTATTTATATGGTTAAATGTTAAATATATTTGATGAAAACATCTTAAACAGTTAAAAAGTGGGTAAATGGGGCTCTTTTTTGATTAAATTGATTAAATCGTTATTTAATTGTTCTACGCAATATATTTGGTTATTTTTTATTAATAGAGCATCTTTGATGGAAAAACAGGAAATTTTGTCACGACCATCACGGACATAAAACTGAATATTAAATATGGTTAATATTACTTTTATAACTATGTTTTGCTATAAGTTAATTTACTTTTAGAGATATTATACAATAAACAGCTCACTAAGCTTTTGGTATGTTTGGTCTTTCTAAAAAAAAATTTAAAAAAACCAATAAAATAATTTTAAGTTTGTATAACTCAGAAAAAACTTACCTAGGACCCGAAAAATCGTTATGTTTATAAAGAGGTGTGCATCTTCTGGGTATAAAACATTGAAATATGATAGGCTATTTTAATTTCTGAAATTCTTATGATAGATGTCATAAACGTGATGGTCAGGGACAAGCGGTACGGTCGTGAATTGTCTGGAATAATCTAATTTTTACTAAAAAATCTTTCAGTTATACTAGTTAAACAATATGTGTTTCAGTTGAACTAAACTGTTCAATTTACAATGATATTTAAAGTTATTGTCACGACCAAACACAGTATAATCCATAAGGATGGATTGGTCGTGACATTACGTGTTATTTGGCTCTGTTCTGGCGGTAGCCCTGCACCTCATGTTCGAGGATACAAAGTGGACTTTGGCTAATCTAGCAATTGAAATATTTTATAAACAAAAATTACTATTCATGTCTACTTCATCAAATGACTCCGTACGGTCATGGACACAGCAAAATTACAAAAAACACAAACTTGCCTTTATTAATCTTGTAATTGTACTTTCAACTCGAAACAATCCTGACGTACACCCCGAACTAGTCTCTAAAACCAAACCGACTGACTCCATCGACGCCAGGCTTGCCACTGTCGTGCTCCAAAGTTGCAAATTTTTCCCTAATGGTCGTGACGTCAAATCGAGGTACAGACCTATATAGTCATGGTAGTCAGTTTACAATGAAAACAAAATTATCATATGCTCCTTTTTCGTAAGTTTAATAACTATTATTTATGTAATAAAAATGACATTATATATTTCGGCATGAATAATTATTCTAAAAACAGCATGAAAGTTGCAAAATGTACCCTAGGGACACGTGACGGTCGTGAGTATTGAGGCTTTAAAAATACGAAAAAAATACCTAGAACCTATTTAAAGCCAAATAATTGTGTAACGTGTTGCCCCCGTCCCAAAAAATATTAAAACACATAATGATAAACTACATACAGTACTGTATTCAGAATCTACCAAGTAAAAGGCCAGGGACATAAAAACGTACGTTTCAAAATTTTCACTCAATGGCGTTTCCCATGTAAATTTTGAAGCTCGTTTTTCGTGTTGTGTGTGACACTGATTGCTATAGTGTCGACAAAATTTTGAAAATCTTAAATGCCCCCGCCCAGCAAATCTGCAGACTAAGCGAATTCCAATTGCCTGATTTGACTTTCAATTAACTAAATCTATTTCGATAACATTAGGCTTGATAAGTAACTTACCTACCAAGGTTTGCTGCTACAGGGAGGGTAGTGTGTTTATTGGTAAAACATTAATAGCTTAGTATAAAAAATTTCTAAGTTCGATCAAAATATATCTATAAACAAGCAAACTAAATGAGTTTACTTATTCTCTATAAGAATATCATGGAAAACTAAAATCTACAAATTTTTTATATTTTCTCCGTAACCAATTACCATACAAAAACACTTCAATATACTAAATTATTTGTTTTTAAGCTCTTCAAAATAGTATAGAAAAAATAGTTATTTGTGCAACTAGTGAGAAAAGTGAGCAATTGACTCACTCGAGAGAAATCCTTACTCACGAGCCGTAGGCGAGTGAGGAATGGTTTCTCGAGTGAGGCAATTGTACTTTGAACTCAAGTTGCACATTATACTTTTCCTACAGTTACCATAAAACAAATAAATTGGTGAAGAAACATAACCTATTTTTACACAGAAGTGAACTTTTAATATAACATTTAACGTTAAGTGACAAATACAACAGTACAACAGCTGACCAGCTGATTTACAGCCAGTGCTGCCAACGTATTTCGCGTGCATGACGTTGCCTGCATGTTACGCGCTCCCTATTTTGTGCCTTCACGTTGCAAATCTGGAGTGAGACAAAGTAATGTAATTAGAGTCTCACTGATGAGCGAATTGGCCACTTTGCTTTCTCAAATCAGTGAGAGAACATGTACCTACATTGTTAGGTAACTGTAGGAAAATGTTATGTTTTTAGGGCCAAAACGAGAAAAAATAGTATATTCCATTACTAGGACCGAAAGTGGCAACTTGGGGCGGGCTCAAGTTTTTGTACGAGGCGAAGCCGAACACAGGGAACCCCAATTTCACGGGCAAGGCAAAGCAGAGTATGTGAGACCTATTTTCACATGAGGCGAAGCCGAGGACGGGAACAATGGAGCAAGTGCCGGACAATAACTTTCGGCACAAGTTATGAACGATACTTTTCATCACGACGCAAAAATACACAAACACAGACTTATTTATTTTTCAATTAATTTGATTAAACATCGTAATATAAAATCTTCTAAAAGGAAACCTACGTATATTTTCGATTAATTTTTTAAACTTAAAAATAAAAGAAAAAATTCTAAAGGAAACCTAAGTATTTTTCTCAATAAATTTGGTTCAAACAGTTAAGTAAAACAATAAAACAACCTTTAACAAAACAGCTGATTCATTATTATTTCATTACACTAGCGTGCTTAGGGAGTGATTGGAGAACTAATTGAGAGCGAGGGAAAATCAGTTGACCGATTTTCCCTTGCCCTAAATTAGAGCTTGGGAAATGACTTCTTTCATTGATGGTGTTTATGGCCTGTTGAAGGCAGCAAACATGTTTGTGAATAAATATTGGTTTACAAAGGTAGCGTTGGTCTTTTGGTTTATGATGATAAAAAGGCTACTCTGATTGAAATATTGGAAATTGTCTTAGTCAAATATGAAGATGCAAATAAAGGTGGGTTGAGATAAGCTTACTTAATTAGTTCCTGGTCTAAAAAGCACTAAATTAGCACCCCCACCCAGATATTATTTCTAAGTGTATGCCCCTTTAGTAAAGTAAAGGCATCCCATTGACCAAACTTAAACCTAGATTTGTTTTTAAAAAACTACTATTAGCCTAGTGTAAGTTTATGTGGTGGTACTCCTCCGAAAGGTGCAATTGACTTTACATATTCTATCAAAAATGGGCCCAATCAACGCCTGATTACTATTTTGCGACTGGTTAGGGTTGTACTACCCAGTAATTGAAACCAATACGAAATTACTTTTAATCAGCATCTTCAACATGCATATTTTTGGTTAGTTTTAAGAAACCGAGACTACCTCTAGGTTTTACTGTATTGTGTGCACTGGCCATTGAAAAATAAGAGCCTCACAATACCAATTCTAATAAAATTGACTAGAACCACACCATCCTAGAACAGAACCAACTTAAATTATAAGCTAAAAATTAGACATACATAACTTATATCTGTAGCATTTGATTTATACGATTCCTGGCGGAGATTAATTATTATGATGTTGCCTAAGCCAATAGGCCCTGAAAGTGTCTGATTTATGGAAGAAATAAAAGGGTACCGGTAGCTACCAAACTTATGACAGGGTTTATGTAAATTTTATTTTTATATGTATAAAATTCAATAGTTTTGCCATTACTTTTGTCTAAAATAATGACTCATGGTTATGATTCATTATCTTTCTTATCTTGGTCGGTTACGATCCGCAAAGATCACAACCTCTTGTGGCAGGAGTTACTTAATAATAATGTAACTTTAATTTTAAGTACAGAATTGAGAATAAAGACATGGCAATAGGTTCTTTGGGGAATAATAATCAAAAGGCTTTTATTACACGCAAGTAAAAATTAACCAGTTTATTATTATGGTTACAGTTTTATTATTATTAAAACATTTTATTTATGAGTTAGCGTTAGGTCCCCTCCTGCGTCCGAATGTCTGCACAACATTGACAAATCTCCTGTTGTACTGGATACGTCTCTTGGCACGTCCAGTCTTCTTCTTCTTTTTTTCTTGCTTTTCAACCTGTAAAGAAACTTGTTGAAAACGAGCACACTGAACAAAGCTCACTTCGTAAACAAAAATAAGGGGAACCAACGACGTTCCTTAACGGTCACCAAATACGGACGGGTTTAAGGGTCAACCAGATAGAAGGGGCTGAGATAGTTATGGGATGGAAGGGGGTGGGTGTTTGCTGAGTAATATTAAAAACGATACCAAAAGCTTGAATTTTTTTAAAGTTTGAAAAATAACCAATTTTCAATGCGCTCTAGCGGAGGTTATTTATAATCGATTTTCAAGTGTGAATAGTGCATTTTGAAGGAAATTTTGCCCACTTTCATTTTGTAAGGGGTAAAAGTCGCTAGAATTCAGAGTTTTCGACTTGTAATATAAAAACTGAAAAGTGCTAAAATTTTGATGTTTTTTGCGAATATCTCGGAACGCTCAAGAAATATTTGTTGGACAACTTCAGATTCGGATTCAGCGCCCCAAAAAAACATAAATTTCAGACAATGTTTCTAAGTCGCCAATTTTGTCCACGTATGGTTAATTTTTACAACGGATTGACTGGACTATTAGTAAAATTTGACTTATTTCTGTAAATGCATACGTAATATAGTTTGATTTTTATATAATATTTTTTTGGGGATTTTGACTTTGTTGGTATGGTTAAAAAAGTACTGTTGAGTTCTAAAAAATAATAAAAACATAAGGGGTGTTTTGCAGATGATGATGTTTTTAAGACAGGGGTTGCTGAAAATTCCATTTAAAATATGGCTTATGGATACACTGTACTGTGAGGTGAATGAAATGCACAATATTTACTAGTAGAAGTAAAGTTATCTAATTAGACATTTTCTTTCATAATTTGAAAATAGCATTAATGTATTTGCAGGTACTAATCCTCATGATTTTATTCAGAAATAAAACTACATTTTATTCACCAACAAATACAATATTGCTCCAGACAAAAAGTACCCAATTAATAATCATTCCAGAATTGAAATAAGATAAACTCTAAAACAAATCCTTACTAACCTTCGGGGTTTGTCCTTTGACTTTTCCGGCACGAGCAAGGGAACCGTGAACTTTACCTGTAAAGAACCACCATGGAACATTAGATTCATGTTGTTTAAGAATACTGTGTCATAGTGTTTAAATCTGTGAAAATATGTCATAGGCCTAAGACTGATATTGAATATTGACAAATGTAGACTCCTGAAGACAATTTAGAGTTTCATTGTAGTTGTTAGCCTCCGGATTGCCAAATATTAGAAAAGGTTTAAATACCTGCTATAAAGCAATCCAATTTTGTTGTCCAACAACAAAATTGGATTGCTTTATAGTAGGTATTTAAACCTTTTCTAATTTAGAGTTGTTGTTGTTGCCAAAAACCAAACAAAATCCAGTATACAGGGTGATTGATATAAGTGTGCCAGCCGTTTTATTCGAAAACCATAAGAGATATCAAAAAAGGTTAAATGGTAAGTGCCTTGGATTTGTTATTTAAAAAATGGTAGTCAAGTCAAAAAATTATTTTAGCCACCATTTTTACAATATGACCGCCAACTTTGATTTTTCTTATGGAACACCCTGTATTTTATGATGTATTCTGGTAGAAAATGTAATTTTAAGACGATTTTATTTTTGTAATTTTTTTCATAAACCTAACTGTTTCAAAGATAATAATGGTTAAAGTTTTGAAATTTCTGCATGAGAAAGAGTTTCGATAAAGGCCTAAGCAAGCATGCCAGCTGTTTTATTCTAAAACCATTCAAAATTTCACAACTTAAACCATTATTATCTTTGAAACGGTTAGGTTTATGAAAAAAATTACAAGAATAAAATCGTCTTAAAATTACATTTTCTACCAGAATACACATGAAATACTTATGTACTCTTATGTTCCATAAGAAAAATCAAAGTTACGGCCATATTGGAAAAATGGCGGCTAAAATAATTTTTTGGACTTGACTATTTTTTTAATAAAAAATCCAAGGCACTTACCATTTAACTTTTTTTTATATCTCTTATGGTTTTCGAATAAAACGGCTGGCACACTTATATCAATCACCCTGTATTTGACTAAGTTTGACCATTGACTAATCGAAAGTAGTCCAGGACCTGACTAGGGTTCTGTGTGCATGTCGTGTATAGAGAATTTTGCTTTTGCATTTCAATATAGGTGTCTTAGGAAGTGTTTTTCACTCGGGTGTCAAGTTCGCACCTGGTACGTTTTCGAGCTATGACGTCATCAAGATGGCGGCTCGGCAATTTTTAAATGCGTATATTTCGCAAACCGTTTAACGGATCGGGATGATTCTTTTTTTTGTTTGAAAGATATTTTTACAAACTATCTTTTTTGTATTTACACATTTGTTGTAAACTTAATATTTACCGCACAATATTGAAAAACTTAGATTTTATTGTTATTATATTTATTGTTTTGCTTATAACTTCTTAACCGCTGATAAAATCAAATACCACCCATTGCAAAAGTTGTAGATAATTCTATACCCTTTCCAATGATACCAAACAATATGTCATTAGACCTAAAAATAAGGCAAAGATATTGAATAAACCGTAAAAAAACACTGAAAGTGGTGTACGGTCCGGGAAAGATTAGTCCTGGACATGACTAGGGTTCTGTGTGCATGTCGTGTATAGAGAATTTGGCTTTTGCATTTCAATAAAGGTGTCTTAGGAAGTGTTTTCCACTCGGGTGTCAAGTCCTCGCCTGTTTCGTTTTCCAGCTATGACGTCATCAAAATGGCGGCTAGGGTAATTTTTAAATGCATATATTTCGCATACCGTTTAACAGATATTCATATTCATATTCTTTATTCATATTTTTGTACAAAGGTGGTACAATGAATAGCGTCAATAAAAAGAAATACAACTAGGGGTGATTCTTTTTTTGTTTGAAAGATAATTTTACAGGAAATGTTTTTTGTATTTACACTTTTGTTGTCAACTTAATATTTATCTCACAATATTAAAAAACGTGGTTTTTAATATCATTGTTTTTGAATTTGTCCTCATAACTTGTTAAACGCTTATAGAATTAAATAACTACCCATTACAAAAGTTGTAGATAATTTTATTCCCTTTCCAACGATACCAAACAATTAATGTTTGAAACTAAAATTAAAGCCAAGAGATTAAAATTTAATAAAATTATAATTTAATTTAATAATAAAATTTAATTAATATTTAATAAACCGTTAACAAACACTTAACATGGTAGAAAGTCGCATACTGGTTAACGAACCGGGATGATTCTTTTTTTGTTTGTAAGATATTTTTTAAGCCTATCTTTTTTGTGTTTACACCTTTGTTGTTAACCTACTATTTGTCAAAAAGTTATAAGCAAAAGTAAAATAAAAATAACAATTAAATGTACATATCTATTATATTATTAAAGTGATACAATCAAATTTTATGTAAACGGTTAAGGCCATTTACCAAATGAAAATATAGGCATATGGCACATCAAAATGAAGCTTAGAGTATGTAGATTTGCCGAAAAGTATTGATATGGACGAATTTCCTAAGGGCTTTGCCCCACAGGCTGATTTCCAAAGGGCTACGCCTGGCACGCTTCCAAAGTTTAGATGATTTAATTTAATTTAGTTAATGAAACAGCTGGTCAGTTCAATGAACTGGTGTTTGTTTATTTACTCCTAAAAGATGTTTGTGACGCTTTATGTAGATTGAGGAGGGTTATGTTTGGTTTTAAAGAAAGGTTGTATACGTTTAGTAAAGTATTGCTCAAAGTTTCATTTTGTAATTTATATAGTAAGCTACATATAAAGAGACTTGGCTAAAATTGAAGAATTATGGTAAAACATGTAATTCATGAAGCATCAATATGAAGCAATTGATGATGTTGCTACACTAAGGTATGTTGTCATATTATTTTGGATCCATTAACATTTAAGTAGGGGTTTAAAAGTAATCAGGTTAACACTTTTAAATCAGTTTATATTTTCAGAGTTGTTGTTGTATTTTAAAACACACATCAGCACCACTTAAATAGCTCTCTAGGTCACATTTTCTTCCCGTTGCAACGCACGGGTATAGCAGCTTGTTTATTAATATTGTGGGATAAATAGTAGGTTAACAACAAAAGTGGAAATACAAAAAAGATAGTCTTAAAAAATATCTTGCTAACAAAAAAAGAATCATCCCGGTTCGTTAAACGGTACGTGAAATATACGCATTTGAAAAATTGTTCCGGCTGCAATATTTTCCGGACTACCTACCATTTTAAGTGTTTGTTAACGGTTTATTTAATATCTTGGCTTAAATTTTAGTTTGAAATATTAATTGTTTGGTATCGTTGGAAAGGGCATAAAGTTATCTACAACTTTTGTAATGGGTAGTCATTTCATTTTATAAGCGTTTAAAAGTTATGAAGAAAAACTCAAAAACAATGATATTAAAAACCACGTTTTTTAATATTGTGAGATAAATATTAAGTTGACAACAAAAGTGTAAATACGAAAACATTTCCTGTACACATTTGATGACGTCATAGCTGGAAAACGAAACAGGCGCGGACTTGACACCCGTGTGGAAAACACTTCCTAAGGCACCTATATTGAAATGCAAAAGCCAAATTCTCTATACAGGATATGCACACAGAACCCTAGTCATGTCCAGGACTAATCTTTCCCGGACCGTACACAGCTTTCAGTGTTTTCTTACGGTTTATTCAATATCTTTGCTTTATTTTTAGGTCTAATCACATATTGTTTGGTATCATTGGAAAGGGTATAGAATTATCTACAACTTTTGCAACGGGTGGTATTTGATTTTATCAGCGGTTAAGAAGTTATAAGCAAAACAATATATATAATAACAATAAAAACGACGTTTTTCAATATTGTGCGGTGAATATTAAGTTTACAACAAATGTGTAAATACAAAAAAGATAGTTTGTAAAAATATCTTTCAAACAAAAAAAGAATCATCCCGATCCGTTAAACGGTTTGCGAAATATACGCATTTAAAAATTGCCGAGGCGCCATCTTGATGACATCATAGCTCGAAAACGTACCAGGTGCGAACTTGACACCCGAGTGGAAAACACTTCCTAAGACACCTATATTGAAATGCAAAAGCAAAATTCTCTATACACGACATGCACACAGGACCCTAGTCAGGTCCAGGACTACCATAGACTTCTTTTCAACCCATTGTAAAATCTTAAGCTGGTTTTTTATGTGCGGTTCGTGTTAGTGCTGTTCAGCGCTTGTGTCGACAACATTTTTTTTTCTTATTCTATGGATATTTCTAAAATAACTGAATTAAAAAGAAACAAATTGTAAACAAAAACACGCTTACTGTTGATGAACTAGACCATTTTAGCATTAAAATTGTCTACAGCTGGAGACAAAATCTATAGTGAATATTATAATTAATTGATCGATTGTGTTAATGATAGATAGTAAAATTGATGCAATAAAAAAGATAAAATTCAAGAGATGGTTTAATGAACATGATTTTCTAAGAACTGACAAAATGTAAACAAAAAGGTAAATAGAGTATTATAAATATAATAAAACATATGATTTGTGTACAAAAGGCAGGCAGAACATAGTAATCAGAGAGAGCTTCTAACAGATTGAATCTAGGATCTAATTATGTACAAATTTATCATCATCTAAATTTTATTAGAATAGTAACAATAAATTATGTTATAAACGTAAAAAGTTATTAGTATTGGATCTTTACTAATGATATGGAAACAGCCACCTATCACAATTACTAATAGGTAGCCTAACTATGCTTTTAAGATAATAAGAATAATTCTGAAAAGCTTCTTACAGTATTTAAGTCACAAACATACAGTACATAAAGGAATCAACAAAAGTCAAGATACTGCCATTAAATTAGCCACAGTACTGAACCTGGGTAATATCCTGGACTATATTTAATAGGAGTTTTCACCCCATGATAAATTTTGAGCCCTCAATATGTTCGCTACCGCAAAGTACTAAATTTTTCATTCATATGGACCAGCGACGCACATATGTGATGGCTAGTTTCTACCCATAGACTGCAATTGCATATGCGACAGCTAGTTTCATTAAAATAGACTGACTTTGCATATTTGGGTCGGTGTTCCAATGTTATTAAAAGCTTAAATATCTTTGTAACGGTCTATTGAAAGGCCCTGAATTCTCTGCAGTGGTCTAGAGGAATGTCTCGCACATGTGCGTCACTTTGTCTGTGGATATGATTAGTGACGTCATATGATAGTTGGCAAAACTATACTTTCCTTTGCTGCATCACTGGCATATGGTGAGTGTTTACCTACTGTTAACCTGGAAGTGACACCCGGTCTCATGTGTAATGTTACAATGTATATACCTCTGTCCGTGGCAATGACCGCAGCGTCACATATATGTGGCGATCGGTAGCGAACAAGTTAAAACATGACAATCCTACAGTAACAATCTCACCTCCGAGCAGTGGAATGGTGACATCGATGCTGTAGTCGCCAGTGAGCTGGGCGACACAGGAGTCATCAGTGAGAGGTTTGCCGCAGTTGTAGAGGCTCAACAGCTCCTTGGGCAACTGTTCCAACTGTGCCACTCGGCCCTGGACATGACAATTGACAGAGTAAATCATCATATACACGCAGTTGCAAACTTAACAATATTCAACTTTCAGAAAAACCTTTAGCAAAAATTCTTCATTTTAAATTTGTATATGAGCACAATTTTACATGGCTTATTACAAATAATGTTCATGATATATCAAGTTTCCATAAAATTTTGTTTTATTGGTTATACAAAAATAAAAAATAGTACAACTTTATGAAACTGAAAAAAATCATGATCACACAAAACTATAAATAAATGTTTGATATGTGAACCACTTGTGATACGACAGATGCATGTACAAAATTTATGCTCTCCGGAAAAACCATTATCCGGACTGGCCTAGGTCCCGAGGAGTCCGGATAAGAGGGCGTCTACTGTATAAAGTTCTCACCATATTTACGCCACTGAGATGATTGGTTAATGTGATAATGCAACACACAAAAACTTTCATGTCTTCAAATTCAGCCTAGGCTATACACAACACTTATAACAATTGACTTGACAAACAGCAGCTGATATTCACCCAAATCAATGCAAATAAATTCTTAAGGAGTTATTTTTTCCAATGGTACCAATTAAAATAGTCTTAAACAAATTAATCCAGTAATATTTAAAATGAAAATTAGGTACTATTAGCCTAATTATATTGGTGAAAAGAGGAACTAACTAACTAACTAGATGTAGGGTCTCCATTCAAAACTTCTAAGTAGTAGACACAGGCAAAATATTATTAATTCATATGTTTTTAATGATGGTAAGGGTCAAAAGCCTTACGGTAGAATAGATATGCAAAGTTCTGGAGGCATCGCAATGTGTCATAGGGGACCCTAGAGGCAAACAGACTTCTTAAAACTGCGGAAGACGATTATAGTTTTAAAATACCACCACGAATATGGGAGATGTCCAAGATTTTTCTTTGATTGTGAGAGACTATGATGATGTGGACTATGACCAGATTTCTGGTTTTAAATACGGTAGCGTATGAAAAAGTGATTGCGAACACCATTATGTAAAGTTTGCACGGTTAAAAATTCTGGACGTCATTGCAATTGCAGTGGATGATCACGATTTCACTGTGAATCCTCTGACTCAGTGTAGGCCTATAAAGAGTTGACATTTCCATACTATTGATTAAAAAGCTTTGTGAAATCCAATTGGAATCAGCTCGTCACTATTTATAAATTTGACCGTAAAACTCATGGTTTATTCTAGATTTTTACCCAATTGACAAAACTCACGGCTCTTTCTCGGTTTTGGGGGTTTTATGATTAAGTGGGGGGGATTAAATTGTACGCTAAACAATCAAAACCGATTCTGGACTCACCTTGATTAGGGCAATGGTCTCATTGCCTTCACACTCAATGACATGGTGCTGCTGTCCACGTATTTGTAGCTGCATTTTGATTCTTGGAATCTGTAATAAATTTCATTATGTTCATTTATAAAGGAATTAGGTTACCAAGTAGGAATGTTAAGGCAATATTTGGCAGCAATTAATTAATAGTAGCCTAAATTAACAAACAGGATTAACACAAGATCACCCAAGAAACTAGTATATCTATCATGACAATTTGTATCCTAGATCTAAAATGTTTTAATCGTGATCACGATGCAATATGCAGTGTGTCACCAGCTGTATGCAGCTGTGTCAGACAAACAGCCAGAACATTGCACAAATCCTATTGGAAGTGTTTGTAGGTAGGCCTAGTATGAATAATTTATAAATAAAAAACTTTTTTAAACAAAACATTTTTAAACGCCCTAAAAAGTAGAAAATAATTTACAAATAATTTATAAATATGTTGAGAGAGTATAAATACTCGTACGATTTAAAACGAAAAACGTGGGGTGCATGCAATAGATAGTTTACCTTCACCTACTGAACTAATGTATTATTATCAATTAATTGCATGCACCCAACGTTTTTCGTTTTAAATCGTACAAGTATTTATACTCTCTCGACATATTTATAAATTATTTGTAAATTATTTTCTACTTTTTAGGGCGTTTAAAAACGTTTTGTTTAAAAAAGTTTTTTATTTATAAATTATTTTATACTTTTTAGTTTTAATGTCTGTGTGCATGATTAATTAATCATTTATAAATCGATTGACTCTTACATCCTTATATAGTGGGTTATTTACAATTAGCCAATCAAGTGCCTTGTAAACACGATCTGGTAAAATGGTATAATCTCTGGATACATTAAGGTTCTCCAGAGTTTCACTCACAGGGTTGCCACCAAAGTGAGATAAAAAAATTCATGCATAATTCAAGGTTTTCATTGGTAGTTTTGAAAAATTCATGGGGTATATGCTCGCACAATTTCACCATAAAAGAGTATTGCCTAGTTCAGAATTGTACATTAATTTATCGACAATATATAGTTTTGTGTGCTACTATAAAATAAAACACATTTCATGCGTTTATTTTAGAGTGAAAAATAAGAATTTAATAAAATTTATCCAGTCTAAAAAAAGTAAAATCACAGATGAAAAAGGATATTTAATAAAAATCTTGTGTGTGATAATACAATGTAATTCTTAAAAAAAATTGAAACATCTGATTTAACAACATCATAACTTAGGCCTAATGATAAATTCAAACGTTAGAAGAAATAATAAATAAATAATAAGTCGGATTGGTAGCTAGGTATAGGCCTAACCTAAAAAACATTGCATCCAAACATAAAAGGTTTAACTTAGTTAATCCAGCAATGGCCTAGAACTTTACTGTCTAAACATCAAATTAAGATAATAGGCATAACGCATAATTAAGATAATAGGCATAATAAAAACAAATGTTAAGAACATGATCAAGAAACGGTTAACTTAGTAATGGGCCATATCTAGGCCTACTAAAACGCACATGCAATCTATTACTTTATACTGTAACACAGTAGGCTAGCCTACATTGTAATCCAAAGCTGAATCTAGGCTAAGTTAGGCCTGAACCAACTTTTATTTATTGAGAAGATTAAAGGTTACCGACTGACTGATAAAAACACTAAAAAGGTAATATTATGTAAATAAATATTTAGTTAAATAGTTAAATATTAGTGGATTAGTTAAATGTAAGTTTAAACATAGGCTAACTTTTAAGTAATAAAAAAATAATTAATTACATTACAGAAAAGGTTAAAATAAACTTAGTTTAGAAGGATGTTTCTTCCGATTGGATCAGTTTATATATTATCATTTGCCTACACAGGTTTAAATCACAGTTAAAACAATTATTTAATTAAATTTACATCTCATTAGTTAGATTCGTATTGACTGAAAACACCTATGCTTCTAACAAAACATTTACATTTACCTTCCTCAGAACGAAATCACCATTTTTCAGCACAACATTGACTTCTTGCAACTTAGGCCTAAATAAATAAACTTAAACTCATGTTGTAAACACATTTACTCAACACTGACAGTAGTTTGAAATACGACATATTTCACCAAACAAACACAGAAGACGATTAAGTTCCAGCCCAGCCGGAGCAAGCCATTTTGACCTTTATGGCAAGGCAAGGTACTTCTTATTTTAACGTTGTAAAGTATCGGAAGTATGATATATCAGTAATAAAAAATATTTAATCTGAACACTTGTTCCACTGAGTGTTGGGTAATCAATTATAAGAAGCACAAAACGGAATCACGAGTGCAAAAAGTGATCTTACTGTCCAGTGTCCACCACTACTTCAAACGTTTGACAAGTTTCAGATCAGTTTAAAACTTTTAGGTTATGGTTATTCTGTATTTCCTTCCACTCCACACGAACACTAGGACTAGAGTTAAGAGTAGAGAGTAGAGAATGAGTGAGAGCGAGCATCAATTCCGATTGTCGATGTTTTCGAAACATCGATGTCTTTTCTATCGATGTTCGAAGTTGTTTGTTTACATCGATGGTAGATTACCGAACCGATGATTTGGTTTGTTACATCGGTCTTTTAGGCCAAAAAAAGTAATGAAATACAGTATTGATGACGTTTTCCGTAACTGAATTGTATTGGTTTTAGGTTAATTGGCTGTTACAGTGCAGAGAACAGACGAGAAACTCAGAACAAACATCGATGTGATCGATGTTTTGGCTCCGAAAGCATCGATTTTATCGGTAGATCGGTACTCGGTAGAGATGGGCGTTATAACATAACAGGATGAATAACAGTGTTGCGGCCACGGCAACGTTATCGCGGCAACACGTTGCGGAGAACTCCCTGTTATTATAATAACGTATCTATCTACACAATGTTGCAGGAAAGCCGCGCGGACAACGAAAACGAAAACATGCATTGCCATTAGTGCCGTTGCCGTAACGCTACCAGAGCAACGATAACTTCTGAAACGAACTAGAATGAGAATAACGCATCTTGTCTGGGCCACGCCCGACTCCCGACTACAACTGAAAACTGAACTGATCAACCGACAACGATAACTGAACGCCGCAACACCGACCGGCAGACAACGGTTTATTGGTTTATAGCGGCAACGAGTTGGCAATCGTTATTGAAATAACAGGTTGCCGCAACACGTTATTGGGCAGCTGCGTTATCGTTATAACCGTTGCCGGAAAACAACGATAATTCTCATCTCTAGACTACTCGGCTGACGTCGGTTACGATCGGATTTGACCTTGAATAAACTACGCAATCGTTTCTGTTCGTGGCATGGCAACAAAACTTTTTATCTTGACACTCCCACTTTGACGTTTTATCTCGGTGTTCATTTCGAGAATGGTTTTAATACGGAGTATTTGATTCAGCACATTTAGGGGTTTTGGCTGAATTATTAATAATGATTTTGAGAATTCATGGTCCAATGGCGAAATTCACGCATAATTCACGCACTTTTTCATGGTCACCTAAATTCACGCATAATTCACGCTTTTCAAGGTTTTCATGGCTGGTGGCAACCCTGTTAGATGGAAATCAACTTCCCGTTGAGCGTAGGCCTGACGCTGACGTAGTAGTCTTGCTTCACGTTCCTGACTTGTCTCTCTAGCTCTTGATTCAGAATGTCTCAAACGATCCGATTCTAGTCGAGAAATATGCGCTTCGGTATTCTCGACTGATCTCGCTTGGACCAATAGTTCATTGGCATTCTCGCGTCCGACATTAGCATGTTTGGGTACTTGTGCAGTTCGCTTACGCCATTTTGCTAATCTTGCAGATTTACAAGTCTTCGATTCATGTTGAAGCTTAACTTCTATTTTTTTCTTCTCCTTCTCTAGCCGTCGCTTGCGTTGGGTGGCTTTCTCCTTCCAATAAGCCGTGGATGGCATTGAGCTCCTCAAGTGCGTATTGCATCGATGGCAGGCAAGCAACACTTTTTTAGCAGAAAGTTCCGGTGGCAAGTATGGCTCCGGTGAAATAGAACATTGTTTCATAACCTGATTAGGGTAGCACATTTTCTTCCAGATATCACAACACTTGTCACAAAAAGTGCTTTTGGTTAGATGGAAATCAACTTCCCGTTGAGCATAGGCCTGACGCTGACGTAGTAGTCTTGCCGATTTACAAACCTGCGTAGCTCGCTTAAGCCATTTGGCTAATCTTGCCGATTTACAAGTCTTCGATTCATGTTTAAGCTTAACTTGTCTTTTTTTCTTCTCCTTCTCTAGCCGTAGCTTGCGTTGGGAGGCTGTCTCCTTCCAATAAGCCGTGGATTGAGCATAGGCCTGACGCTGACATAGTAGTCTTGCCGATTTACAAACCTCCGATTCCTGTTGAAGCTTAACTAGTCTTTTTTTCTTTTCCTTCTCTAGGCGTCGCTTGCGTTGGGTGACTGTCTCCTTGACCATAATATGAGTTATCATGCAATATTCACAAATAATTGATATTATTACATGTTTACAGTTCGTTAATCCGAAAACTCACAATATATAATAATATAACTATAGTTTGTTATGGAATTTCTCTGCAATGCATTCACTCAAAATATTTATTGTTTACTTTATAGAATACTAAATAAACAAAAATTGACATTATTTACAAACACCTTGATACCTGCAATCAGATTGTTTATCTTTATTTTGAAATGTTTGTTTGTATAAAGAATCTCTTGGGAGCATAACCTGTACCTCTTAACCTCTGCTCTTCGAACTGTCAAATTTAAGTATTTACAGCTGACTTAAATTAGTTGTTATATTTACATCCTTTCAAAATGTCAACATGAAAAATGTGGAAGCCCATGGGGCGTAGCCCAAGGGAAATATGAAAATTAAATGATATAATATTGTATTGTCATGCATTTGTGAGCTATGTTTCAAATTTCAAGTCTCTAGCTTATCGGGAACATCGTTTAAAATTGATATCAAAATTTGTAGGAAAGCGAGCTAATAAAAACAAGCCTATGGGGCGTAGCCAGAAAGGAAATATGAAAATTAAATGATATAATATTGCAATGTCATCCATTTGTGAGC